GGTCTGGAGTAGGGCATAGGAATCTATATTTTAAGCATATAAATCATCAAGACTTTGTGGTAATGGCACAAGGACAGATGAGGATAGAGAGCAACAGAACAGAGTGTCTAGAAATGGAACCACACTTACATGGACACTTGATTTTCAACACAGATGCCAGAACAGTCCTTTGAGGAAAAGAAATCTTTTCAGCAAATCGTGTTGGAACAACTAAATATACATACGGGGGAAAATATGAACCTTGACCCCTACCTTGTGCCATATATAATATGGATTGTTGACCTAAATATAACAGTTAAAGCTATAAACCTTCTTGGCCTGGCATGGTGGCTCAAGCCTTCTTGGCCAGCTGTAGTGGCTGACACTGAGGTGGGCAGATCACTTGAGGTCAGGAGTTTGAGACCATCCTGGCCAACATGGCCCAACTCCGTCTCTACTAAAAATACAAAAATTAGCTGGGTAAGGTGATGCACACTTGTAGTCCCAGCTACTTGAGAGGCCGAGGCAAGAGAACTGCTTGAACCTAGGAGGTGGAGGTTGCAGGGAACCAAGATCACACCATTGCACTTCAGTCTGGGCAACAGAGTGAAACTCTGTCTCAAAAAAAAAAAAGGTGTAAACCTTCTAGAAACAATCATAGCAGAATATCTTTTGGATGGGTAAAGCCTCCTGAGTAGCTGGGATTATAGGTGTGTGCACCCCGCCTGGCTAATTTTTATATTTTTAGTAGAGATGGGGTTTCACCATGTTGGCTGAGCTATTTTCCAACTCCTGACCTCAGGTGATCCACCCGACTCAGCCTCCCAAAGTGTTGGGGTTACTGGCGTGAACCACCATGCTCAGCCCTAAACATTCTTATGTAAATGTGTGGATATCTTTCATTTCTCTTGGTTGGATACCAAGGATTGGAATTGCAGGGTATATGATAATATCTTATGGACAGGACACAAAAAAGAATAATGATAAAAGAAATGATAATTTACACTTCATCGAAAACTTTTGCTCACCAAAAGTCACCATTAAGAAAGTGAATAGGCAGGCCACATGACGGGAGGAAATATTCACCAAGTATATTTCAGTATTTCAGACAAAGGATAGGCATCCAGAAGGTATAAAAAACTCTCTTGGCTATTACAAAGAGAGATACGCTAAACTTTTTTTTTTTGAGACAGGGTTTTGCTCTGTCACCCAGGCTGCAGTGCAACGGCACGAACACTGCTCATTGCAACTTTGACCTCCTGGGCTCAAGCAATCCTTCCACCTCAGCCTCCTGAGTAGCTGGGATCCTAGGCAGCGCGCACCACTATGCCTAATTTTTTTTTTTTAAGAGACAGGGTCTTGCCGTGTTGTCCAAGATGCAAGCAGTCCTCCCACCTTGGGCTCCCAAAGTACTGGAGTTACAGGCATGAGCCACTGTGCCCAGCCTAAACATTCTTCTTCTTCTTCTTTTTTTTTTTTTCTTTTTTTGGAGATGGAGTCTCACTCTGTTGTCCAGCCCAGGCTGGAGTGCAGTAGTGTGATCTCACCTCACTTCAACCTCCGCCTCCTAGGTTCAAGTGATTCTCCTGCCTCAGCCTCCCAAGTAGTTGGGACTACAGGCGCATGCCACCATGCCCAGCTAATTTTTGTATTTCCAGAAGAGATGGGGTTTCACTATGTTGGCCAGGCTGGTCTCGAACTCCTGATCTCAAGTGATCTGCCTGCCTTGGCCTCCCAAAGTGCTGGGATTACAGGTGTGAGCCACTGCGCCTGGCTAAGATTTTTTTTTTTGAGACAGGGTCTTGGTCTGTCACCCAGACTGAGTGGTGCAATTATAGCTCTCTGCAGCCTCTATCTCCTGGTCTCAAATAATCCTCTAACCTCAGCCTCCCTCTGGTAGCTGGGACTACAGGGATGTGCCACCATGCCCGGCTAATTTTTTTTGTAGATGTGGGATTTTGCCATGTTGCCCAAGCTGGTTTAGAACTCCTGGGCTCAAGTGATATGCCTGTCTCAGCCTCTCAAAGTGCTGCCGTCATAGATGTGAGCACTGCACCTGGCCTAAATATTGTTTTTCTTTCTTTCTTTTTTTTTCTGAGACAGAGTCTTGCTCTATCACCCAGGCTGGAGTGCAGTGGTGCAATCTTGGCTCACTGTAAACTCTGCCTTCTGGGTTCAAGGTATTCTACTGCCTCAGCCTCCTGAGTAGCTGGGATTATAGGCATGTGCACCACGCATGCCTGGCTAATTTTTATATTTTTAGTAGAGCTGGTTTCCAGCTCCTGACCTCAGGTGATCCACTGGACTCAGCCTCCCAAAGTGTTGGGGTTACTGGCATGAGCCACCATGCTCAGCCCTAAACATTCTTATGTAAATGTGTGGATATCATCTTTCATTTCTCTTGGTTGGATACCAAGGATTGGAATTGCAGGGTATATGATAAGAGTTTCATTCCTACATATTCACCCAAGAGATATGAAAGATGATACCCATGAAGAGACTTGCAAGAATGTTTGTAACAGCTTTATTTGTAGTAGCCAAAACATGGAAACAGCACAGGTATACACCAATAGAAAAACAGATAAACTCTGTTACAAATTCACATAGAGTTATATATTTATACTCAGCAGTAAAAATGAATAATCTGCTAGATGAGTTTCAGAAACATGCTTAGTGAAAGTTCGGCACAAAAGAATTCCCAATCAATACATTTATATAATGAAAATATTTAGGATAGGGTTTGCCTCTGGAGTAGGGGAAGGGATTGACTTGAAAGGGTCATAAAAGAACTTTCTTAGGCTGGGCACGGTGGCTCATGCCTATAATCCCAGCACTTTGGGAGGCTGAGGTGGGTGGGTCGCTTGAGGACGGGAGTTTGAGACCAGGCTCGCCAACATGGTGAAACCCCATCTCTACTAAAAATACAAAAATTAGCTGGGCATGGTGGTGGGCACCTGTAATTCCAGCTACTAGGGAGGTGGAGGCAAGAGAATTGCTTGAACCCAGAAGGCAGAGGTTGCATTGAACTGAGATTGCGCCTACACTCCAAAGCTGGGTGACAGAGCGAGATTTTGCCTCAAAAAAAAAAAAAAAAAAGAACTTTCTCTGGTGTTCTGTACCTTGATGGTTGTGTCACACAGTTGTGTGCATTTGTCAAAACCCATAAACATAAGATTTATGCAATTTATTATATGTAAATTTTACCTCAAGGAAAAAAGTTTTGAAAAATGTGATTTTGATTCAGGTGATATGAGCACAACACTTGAGAACTACTGGGTTTGACTAACTTCAGAAATAGTTCTTCCATAAAAACATAATTCAGAGATGACTAATGTAACCCTCTGGCATTCAAAAATTAATGAAGCCAAAATATGAATGGAGCCAGGTGCCAATGGCTCCAAGCACCTTGGAAGACTGAAGCAGAAGGCTCGCTTGAAGCCAGGAGTTAGAGAGAGACCAGCCTGGGCAGCATACTGAGATTCTATCACTACAAAAAATTAGCTAACTAATTAGCTAATTAGGAATAGTGGTGTGTGCCTGTATTTCTAGCTACTTACAAGGCTGAGATGGGAGGATCTTTTGAGCCCAGGAGTTTGAAGCTGCAGTGAGCTATAATCACACCACTGCACACCAGCCTGGGTAACAGAGCAAACTCCTGTGTCTAAAAACATTTTTAAAAATTAAAAAAAAATTTTTTAATGTCACTTTAAATATTTTAAAGAATATATTGGAATTTAGTTACATAAATATATTAAAAATGCAATTTCTTTGTTAAGCTAATTAGTAAGTGGATAGGGATTCATGAAAATACTGTATAGTTCTTTTCCAGTAGATGTTCTTTTTTTTTGACATCAGGAATGCAATTTTAGTATCATGATTGGGCACAGAAATAATTTTACATTGAGATGGATATTCACGGTGGCATTTGGTAAATGGGATGATTTTGATTTGCAGTTGTATTCCTTTCAGTTAAATTCTTGGCTCTCAGCTGAGTGCAGTGGATGTGTTTACTTATGTGATAGACCGTTAGTGTCATTGACTTTAAGATTCTAGATATTGGTTATTAAGGACTGAGGCCAGAAAAAAGATCCTAGATGTTGAGACAACTAGAACTTTTACTTCATGTGCCTTAATCATATGTGAAATTATCTACAGACTTTCAAAAGTGCTGCAGGGGAAAGGCTGGAACTAGGATATTGGTCAAATGCTTGAACTTTCACCAATTAAAGATAACTGCCTGTGTTTCCACCTTTCTCCTGTTAGAATCACCTGGGGCACTTACTAAACCTCAAATCCCTCTCCTGAAGTTTCTAAAACGTTTCTGTACCTAAAAAACCAAAACAAAAAAAGGGAGAGAAAGGAGGGAGGGAGGAAGAGAGGGAGGAAGGGATCGAGGAAGGGAGGAGACAAGGAAAGGAGTGGGGAGGGGAGAAGATCACCCCAGGAGATTGTTGAAAATGCAAATTCCTGGGCCCTTCCCAGACCTCTCATTTGTCATGTTTGGAATGAAGCCCCCAGATTTACAGTTTTTTAGGACACATAAAATGCACAGGTCTGAGGGCTGTCTTCCTAGTGTCACTGTCTCAGAAGAAGGTCCCTATGTAAGTCTTCAGGCACTCTTACAAGAGAGAAGTAGGAGGTAGGAAGTTGAAGGAAAGACAACTTTAGAATTGAGGACAGAGATTAGGGTAAGACCCAGGTGGAGGATTTGAGTAACCAGCAGCTAGAGAGGATCTAAGGGACAATGAGCATGCATAAGAGAAAGCAGAGAATCACCTCCTAGGAACCATCCATTGGCTGTAAGACTACATCTTTGTAGGGGTGGAGTATTGGTAACCAATAGGAAAGTGACTTTTGAGAGTGACTGCATTGATTTGCTTTCAAGTGGTGGGGAGAATTCAGGATCATCCTTCGTGGTACTAAAAATCTGCTTGCATGTCATAGGTTGTCAGCCCTTGTCTTACGTGCTGCTAATGGGCACCTACCAACTATAAACATTGATTGATTTTTCTCTTGTGTAGTAAGAAGAAAGCAAAACCTATAGTCCATCTTCTGGCAGAAGATGTTATGTTTGGATCAGAAACGGGAGGCGTTGGAAGCCAGGAATCAAAAGTGAAGAAACTCTGCAAGTCCTTAGGTGAGAAGGTCACAAGGCTTATTCATTTATTTATGTAATTATATGACCCCCACCATCACCATAAGGTTACCTAATGTGAGTGCGTTGCTTTTAGGCTGATAGGTACTTCACAAATGGTAGGGAAAAGGTGGAATAGGAATAAGCTGCTGGACATGGGTTTTGATGACACATTTCTACACAGGCTGCTTCAGTCAGCACTTTCTGTCGTCCCCTTCCTGCATTCTTATCTACTTATTTCCCAGGACCCTTCTCCCTTCTCCCTGGGGCTAAAGTTAACCTGAAATATCTCACTAACATTTAAAGCTAACATTTATTGAATCCTTATTATTACTAGGCAACGAGGTCTTGTGCTGTCCCTGCAAAATTTCATTCCCTGCTCAAAGCAATCCAATAAAGTAATACAGTTGTTATGATTCATGGTGTAGATGAAGCATCTGAGATTCTGAGAGGTTATGTAACTTACCCAAGACCTGACAGCTAGGAAGTGGCAGAACCAAATTTTAAGCTCATGCTTTCTGACTCCAGATTTCATAGTTGCTACTTTTTCTCTCAGAGGAAAAAACTTGCACCTCCTCCAGTGTACCAGAGCAGGTATCCCAACTTGGTAGACCCATTTTGAAAGGTTGTTGATATGGTTTGGCTATGTCCCCATCCAGATCTCATCTTGAATTGCAGTTCCCATAATCCTATCTGTCATGGAAGGGTCCTAGTGGGAGGTAACTGAATCATGGCGGCCATTACCCTCATACTGCTCTTGTGGTAGTGAAATTCTCATGAGATCTGATGGTTTTATAAGGGGCTTTCCTCACTTAGCTCACAACTTCTCCTTCCTGCTGCCACGTAAAGATGGATGTGTTTGCTTCCTCTTCTACCATGACTGTAAGTTTCGTGGGGTCTCCCCAACCCTGAGGAACTGTGAGTCTGTGAAACCTCTTTCCTTTATAAATTACCCAGTCTAGAGTATTTCTTCATAGCATCGTTGAGAATGGACTAACAGTAAATTGGCACTGGGAGTGGAGCACTGATACAAGGATGCCTGATAATGTGGAAGCAACATTGGAACTGGGTAGCAGGCAGAGGTTAGAACAGCTTGGAGGGCAAAGAAGAAGACAGGAAAATGTGGGAAAGCTTGGAACTCCCTACAGACTTGCTGAATGGTTTTGACCAAAATGCTGATAGTAATGTGGACAAGTCCCGGCTGAGGTGGTCTCAGATGGAGAGTAGGAACTTCTTGGAGACTAGAGCAAAGGTGACTCTTGCTGTGCTTTAGCAAAGAGACTGGAAAGATTTTATTCTGCCCTAGAGCTGTAGAACTTTGAACTTGAGAGAGATGATTTAGGTTATCCGGTGGAAGAAATTTCTAAGCAGCAAAGTATTCAAGAGGTGACAGAGCATCATGATTGTGAGTTTCCAGAGGCCTCTCCAGCACTGTGGAACTGTGAGTCAGTTAAACCTCTTTCCTTTACAGATTACCCAGTCTCGTGTATTTCTTTATAGCAGCATGAGAATGGACTGATACAGTTGTCAGTCTCTGGGATTTGAAAGCATTACAGCTTTCATTATGAAATTTTTGAAAGTCAGAGAAGAGGATGAAATCACCAAAATATCACTACCCTTACTTAATTATGATTAATGTATTAATGTATTTGCTTTCTGGGCTTTTCCATCTGTGTATATACTTTCCAGTAGTACATGTATTCTTTAGTATCCCGAGAATTAAAAAATATATAGAATTTTCATGCCCAGATTTTAATGACATTTAAATGATGTGAGACTTATAGCAGTTTGAAGTTAAAGAAAGCCCAACAAATGCATGAGTGAACGCATGCGTGCTTTCATGTATGGAAAGCTACATGTTTGTGCTCTTGTCACATTTGATTTTTTGTGTTCAGAGTCAGGGACTGTTGTTCTAGTTTAAATTCTGTATAACACTTTATATGAACAAGTAGTCTACTCTCCCAACTCAAAAGTGTGTTCTACCGATCTTTCCAGCTGTTGCTCAAATTCACATCCCCATCAAGACTTTCTTGATTTCCAAGCCTGCAATGATCTTTCTCTACTCAAATTTTCTCAAGCACTGTCTGGCTATAACTTACATTTGATCTTCACCGTTTTCTATACTTGCTAATTACAGCACTTTTGTCCTATTATGCTTCTATCAGCAACACGGAATCCAGTGCTTTTCAATGTCAGTTTCTTTAGCATTTTAGCATTCAAATCAAATTGCTACTGATCAATTTTTATAAGAATGGCTAAACTTTCTGGTGTGTCTTTCTATCCTTTCCTAGGTTCCTATTACTGTAACCATGCCAGAAATGACAGAGAATGAGACACCTACAAAAAAGCAGCACAGGTATGTATCCACAGCCCCAATATGATCTACTTTGGGTAGATAAGAAGCAGAATTAGTTTCTATTTTGCTACATAGGTAGTCTTTAGAGAACTTTCATTTAGTTACCTAGGAAATTATTACTCTCCAAAAATATTTGTAGATAAATATAGATTTACTGAAAGAGGTATATAGTTAAAAATGCTCTGTCCTGGCTGGGCATGGTGACCCACGCCTATAATCCCAGAAGTTTGGAAGGCCAAGGCAGGAGGATCACCTGAGGTCAGGAGATCAAGACCAGCCTGGCCAACATGGCGAAACCCTGTCTCTACTAAAAATACAAAAATTAGCTGGGTGTGGTGGCACATGCCTACATGTAGTCCCAGCTACTCAGGAGGCTGAGGCAGGAGATTTGCTTGAACCTGGGAGGCAGAGGTTGCAGTGAGCTGAGATCACACCATTGCATTCCAGCCTGGGTGACAGAGCTAGACTCTTAGCTCAAAAAAAAAAAAAGTTATCTGTCCTTTTTATTTTGCTAGTAGTATAACAAGTAAGAATGACTGTCAGTAGTTAAAATAATATATTACCAAATCTATGTTAAATGTTTTGTTTCTAATGACATTTTTACTTGCCTATTAATTTTAGTATATCGTAAGTTCATCAGGCTCTAGTCAGTTTGAATAGACATTTTGTGACATTATAATCCATGAATGCCAATGCATATCAGTACTACATTACTTCTGGTTCTTTGTACAACCTTTTTTTTTTTTTTTTTTTTTCTGAATTTCTAGCACCTTTAGCAATGTTTCTGCTTAGTATTACATGGCTGATGCTTCTAATATTAAAATCGTGATTCTCTTTCCTTACTGAATAGCTATTAGAGAATGCTAATGCTCCTGGTAATTGTGTATAAAAGGGAAAGTCAATGCTTTTAGTAGATTGGCTTTCAAAAAAATTTAAGAGTTTGGATAACCTAAGGTACACCAATGCAAGATAGCTCAAATGCCAGTCTGTGCATGGGTGCTGTTGGCTACCACATCTCCTTGCGTGGGGATTACAAAATTACTGTCTACTGTTGCGTGTCTCTCCTGTACACCCACACCCGTACTGGCCCAGGTGCCAGGACAAACATCAGAAATCACCTACTTGGCACATCCCTTTGTGAATTTACCAGCACCTATGTTACATTTTGAAATAGTTAATTAAGCTTTTCAGTGATTGATTCATTTCCCAACCTGTGACTTCTGGGTATGGAATGTAGTTACCTCCAGAAATTGTGGCTTCTAAATTTTTTTTTTTTTTTGAGATGGAGTCTTGCTCTGTTGCCCAGGCTAGAGTGCAGTGGCACGATCTCGGCTCACTGCAACCTCCACCTCACGGGTTCAAGTGATTCTCCTGCCTTGGTCTCCCAAGTAGCCGGGATTAAAGGTGCCTGCCACCACACATGGCTAATTTTTGTATTTTTAGTAGAGACAGGGTTTTGCCATCTTGGTCAGGCTGGTCTCAAACTCCTGACCTCATGATCCACCTGCTCAGTCTCCCAAAGTGCTGGGATTGCAAGCATGAGATACCGGCTGATTTTTGTATTTTTAGAAGAGATGATGGGGTTTCACCATCTTGGCCAGGCTGGTCTCGAACTCCTGACCTTGTGATCTGCCTGCCTTGGCCTCCTAAAGTGCTGGGATTACAGGTGTGAGCCACCTGTGCCTGGCCTGTGGTTTCTAAATTTATATTGCGGTTCTCTGCCATTAAATTTTCATACCATAATGTATATTAAGGAAATGTTTCTTCAGATTGTTTCTTATTGATGCAACAAATGCAAATTCATAAAATTAATTTTTATGATTCTTAAAGTATAAAGTGGTAAAAATACTTTCCCATTATTTTCATGTTACCTTTTATCTGTACTTTTTTTTTTCAGAAAGAAAAACCGGGAGACACACAATGCAGGTAGAAACAATTTAAATTTTACCCGTTAGCACTTTTTGCGTTCAAAATGAAATTATACCTCACTTGATTATAAGTTTTTATGTATAGGCATGGAATCATTATTCAGTATGTTTTAGGAAAATGTTCCTCTATTGTTTTTAATTGCCAAAATACTCCCTAAGTCTCATGAAGATGGCTTGTTTCTCATCTTCTGGTTCAGTCTATGGAGATCATTTAAGAGGTTACTGTATCTCTGGAGCTAGTGTTTCAAGTGATTTTACCTACCAAGGTAATCCAGTTATTATTCTCCTAGATAATATGGAGAGTGTGTATCTTTGCAGCAATTCCCGAAGGGGCTGGCTGCCTAGAGGTATAGGTAAGAGATGAGCAGCAGGCTCTAGTCCCTAAAGGATCCTGCAGTGTGAACAGTCTCAAATTCAGTTCTGGAGTGCTCTAGTGTAGGAACAACTGTAGAAAATAAATATTGAATTTTATTTCAGATACTGAAATTATGAACCAAAGCCAGATAAACATTCACAAAATTAATCGTCCATACATTTGGAATTTAGCACACTGTATAGCATCTTATTTTCCATCAGGGACTACATTCAGGTCTAAAAAATATTATTTTAGAGGCTTTTCTTTTTGTGGGGGGACAGTCTTGCTTTGTCTCCCAGGCTGGAGTGCAACGGTACAATCTTGGCTCACTGCAACCTCCAACTCCTGGGTTCAAGTGATTCTCCTGCCTCGGCCTCCTGAGTAGCTGAGATTACAGTCACCTGCCACTGCACCCAGCTAAGTTTTGTAATTTTTAGTAGAGAGGGGGTTTCACCATGTTGGCCAGGCTGGTCTCGGACTCCTGACCTCAGGTGATCCACCCACCTCTGCCTCCCAAAGTGGGATTAAGCCCAGCAATTTGGGAGGCAGAGGTGGGTGGATCACCTGAGGTCAGGAGTCCGAGACCAGCCTGGCCAACATGGCGAAACCCCCTCTCTACTAAAAATATAAAAAATTAGCCGGGCCTGGTGGTGTGTGCCTGTAATCCCAGCTACTCAGGAGGCTGAGGCAAGAGAATTGCTTGAACCTGGGTGGTGGAGGTTGCGGTGAGCCGAGATCGCGCCATTGCACTCCAGCCTGGGCAACACAGTGAGACTTTGTCTCAAATTAAAAAAGCGATGTGCTTACCCTAACTTATTTAGGAAGACTAATTAGGCATCGTTAAAAAGGATGCTAGGCCAGGTGTGATGGCTTCTGCCTGTAATTTCAGCACTTGGGAGACCAAGGCAGGAGGATGTCTTGAGTCCAGAAGTTCAAAACCAGCCTGGGCAACATAGGGAGACCCTGTCTCTACAAGTAATAAAAAAAAAATTAGGCAGGCATGGTAGTGCATGCCTATGGTTCCAGCTACTCTAGAGGCTGAGGTAGAAGGATTGTTTGAGCCTGTGAGGTCAAGGCTGTCGTGAGCTGTGATTTTGCCACTGCACTCCAGCCTGGGCAACAGAACAAGACCTTGTCAGGAGAAAAAAAAAAAAAAAGAAAGAAAGAAAAGAAAAAGGAAAAAGGGGAAAAGAAGGAAAAAAGGGGCTGGGAGCTGTGGCTCATGCCTGTAATCCCAGCACTTTGAGAGGCTGAGGCAGGCGGATCGGGAGGTCAGGAGATTGAGACTATCCTGGCCAACATGGTGAAACCCCATCTCTACTAAAAATACAAAAATTAATTGGGCCTGGTGGTGCGTGCCCGTAATCCCAGCTACTCCGGAGGCTGAGGCAGGAGAATTGCTTGAATCTGGGAGTTGGAGGTTGCAGTGAGCCGAGGTTGTGCCAGTGCACTCCAGCGTGGGTGACACAGTGAGACCCTGTCTTAAAGAAAGAACAAAAGTATTGCTTATGTAGATTTCTGTAACACTAGACTTTAAAAATGACATCGCAGATGTTTTACTTACTATAGTTATTTAGAGTAGATGTTTGACAAGCATTTCTTTCCTTTCTTTTTGAGACAGAGTCTTGTTCTTTTGCTCCAGCTGCAGAGCAGTGGTGTGATCTAAGCTCGCTGCAACCTCCCATCTCCTGGGTTTCAAGCAATTCTCCTGCCTTAGCCTTCCAAGTAGCTGGGGCTACAGGCATGTGCCACCATGCCCAGCTAACTTTTGTATTTTTTGTAGAGATGGGGTTTTGCCATGTTGGCCAGGTTGGTCTTGAACTCCTGACCTAAGGTGGTCCTTCCTCCTTGGCCTCCCAATGTGCTGGCTTTGCAGGTGTGACCCACTATGCCTGGCTATTGATAAGCATTTGTTAGGGATTTCTTTACCTAACACTTTTTTACCCTGGTTCAATGAGGTCACTTTGACTAAGTAGTTAAGGTTTGATAAATGAATTTTCTCCCATTTAGTGGAGAGGCATAGAAAGAAGAAAATCAATGCTGGAATAAACAGAATAGGAGAGCTGATCCCATGTTCTCCTGCCCTGAAGCAGGTAAGAAGTCTACTCATATCTTCATTCATTACTTATGAACAGATAATTCCCTAAGTTGTTTTGGTGCTTAGAATGATTATTTTTGTTCCTTTTTATGTTTATATATGGTTCTTTTGAAGTTAATAATTTCCTTGGTTTTTTTTTTTTTTTGAGACGGAGTTTCGCTCTTGTTACCCAGGCTGGAGTACAATGGCACGATCTCGGCTCACCGCAACCTCCGCCTCCTGGGTTCAAGCAATTCTCCTGCCTCAGCCTCCCAAGTAGCTGGGATTACAGGCACACGCCACCATGCCCAGCTAATTTTTTTTGTATTTTTAGTAGAGATGGGGTTTCACCATGTTGACCAGGATGGTCTCGATCTCTTGACCTCGTGATCCACCTGCCTAAGCCTCCCAAAGTGCTGGGATTACAGGCGTGATCCACCGCGCCCGGCTGACTCTTATATTTCTAAATAACATGCTTATGTTGCTGTATCTTTATTTTTCAATCTTAGATATTATCTATTGACTCATTATTATGTTTTTCCCCTGGCTTCTCCTTCTTTAGTCCTCCCAGTATAATTATATCCAACTTTTGGTTAAATTGGTATTCAGTTTTTGTGTTTTTAAAACTGTAAATATTATTCATGGTTGAGCCAAGGAGTGTACTATTATTATATTTCATTTGTTGCTTTTGTTTTTGGGAGGAGTTTTCCATTTGCGTAATTTTTCATATCATTATCTTGAATTCTTCTCACACTTCCAGCCATCTCTCAGTAGTTTCCCTCAAGGTCAAATGCACTGCATCATTTCCATTTGCCATTTTCTTTCTTTGAGACTTTACTTCTGGAACCCTCTGTTCTCCTTTTTCATTCTCAACCAGTTGGCCTCTTCCAGCTCTTCTGTTTTTAATTCCAGCTCATATATTTTTAATTTCCAAGAGTCTTTTTTTCTTAATCTCTGTTCCTTTTCCTACCATATGTTCGTGGATACAATAATGTCTTCTCACTTCTGAATGGTATATGTAGGTTTTTTCCTGAAGTTTTTCCGTGTATGTTTATTTCCTCTGATTTCCTTTTTTCCCCTCTTTTGTCTTGTCTTTCTTTTTGGGGGTTTTCCTTAAATGTTTAGTGACTTGAAGCTGCTTTTTTTCATACTTGAGAATGAGGCATTAAAACGTTGATTGAATAGGTTTGTCTTTTGGTGGGCCTAAGTGTTGCATGATCAGAAGCTATTCTAGGTCTGTTGTTCTTGCTGTGGAACTAAAACATATCAGTATTTGTAGTTCTTTTCTTATGTGGGATAGCTATTTTTTTTTCTTTTCTTAGAGAAGAACCATCAGTGTCCTGGCTGGGAGTGGGACTGGTGGGGAGAGGAGTATAAGCCTGGTTGCCGTTATTCTGGGAGCTGGATAGGGCGTGGGGGGCTAGAGAGTCTTGTGCTGTAGTAGGCCGAGTTTCACTCACCCCCGTGTTTCCACTTAGGATACTCATCTTGTCCACTTCTGTGCCAAGTATCCCTGAGGTTGAAATTCTCTGGTTCAAATTTCACAGAAAATAAACTTGTCTCCTGCAGTTTGGGCAGGAAGGGAAAGTCATCCAGCTGTGTAGAAAATGTGTGTGGGGGCTGGCTAGGGGGTGGTTCTTATTACTGCTTTATTAGGAGTCCTTCGACCAGTACCCTCATTTAACCCCTTACCTCACCCTACCTTCTGTAGAGGCTGGTGCTTCTCAGTGTTGAGATGTCCTTGGATATCAAGGGAACAAATCAGCTTGCTTCTCTGTGGTGTCCCCTTGGAAAGGACATACTCTTCATTTCCTTTCATGCTTCCCAATAGGATGCTCTTAGATGTCCACATGTTTTTTTTGAGATAGAGTCTCGCTCTGTCACCCAGGCTGGAATGCAGCGGCATGATCTCAGTGCACTGCAACCTCTGCCTGCCAGGGTCAAGCGATTCTCTTGCCTCAACCACCTGAGTAGCTGGGATTACAGGTGCCCGCCATCATGCCAGGCTAATTTTTGTATTTTTAGTGGAGATGGGTTTTGCCATGTTGGCCAGGCTGGTCTTGAACTCTTGACCTCAAGTGATCCACCCACCTTGGCCTTTCAAAGTGCCAGGATTACGGGTGTGAACCACTCTGCCTGGCCCCATATATGTATTTCTCAGCCTTTTTAAAAATCGTGCTTCTGTTTCCTTAACACAATGGCATACATGATGTCTTGTAATTTGTTTTTCTTTCTCCACATCTCAATGGAAGTAGCTATTCAGTAAACAAATGTTTGCCCAGGAAAATCGTATTTTCCTGCTCTTGGCTTTCATTCCTGCGAGTTTCTCTGAAGAAAGGAAACCATAACCATCTAACTTCCTTGGTGTGCTAGAATGTGCAAAGGAGGTCAGTATTTGGCTATCAGAAGCAGAACCGACTAAGATTTTCTCGACAGGCTTTGGCCTCTGTCTGCAGTAGAGGGACAGGTGGCTGGGAATTGTCAGGTTCTGCCTTTGTTCAGGTTATTATTTTTAAAAAGAACAATATTATTTTTCTCTTAATAGTAAAGAGTTGCCTGGGTTTGTGTATTGGGTCTCTGCTGGGACTCATTGTAAGGAAGTCAGAATTATAAATTGCCAAACAAAGGGCTGAATCACAGTGTTTCCTACACGAAAAGAGTAGAGATAGCTAATAATATACATCCTGGAGTAGAGACAGCTAATAGTATACATCCTGGAGTAGAGACAGCTGATAGTATACATCCTGGAGTAGAGACAGCTGATAGTATACATCCTGGAGCAGAGACAGCTGATAGTATACATCCTGGAGCAGAGACAGCTGATAGTATACATCCTGGAGCAGAGAGAGCTGATAGTATACATCCTGGAGCAGAGACAGCTGATAGTATACATCCTGGAGCAGAGACAGCTGATAGTATACATCCTGGAGCAGAGACAGCTGATAGTATACATCCTGGAGCAGAGACAGCTGATAGTATACATCCTGGAGCAGAGAGAGCTGATAGTATACATCCTGGAGCAGAGACAGCTGATAGTATACATCCTGGAGCAGAGACAGCTGATAGTATACATCCTGGAGCAGAGCCAGCTGATAGTATACATCCTGGAGCAGAGCCAGCTGATAGTATACATCCTGGAGCAGAGACAGCTGATAGTATACATCCTGGAGCAGAGACAGCTGATAGTATACATCCTGGAGCAGAGACAGCTGATAGTATACATCCTGGAGCAGAGACAGCTGATAGTATACATCCTGGAGCAGAGACAGCTGATAGTATACATCCTGGAGCAGAGACAGCTGATAGTATACATCCTGGAGCAGAGACAGCTGATAGTATACATCCTGGAGCAGAGACAGCTGATAGTATACATCCTGGAGCAGAGACAGCTGATAGTATACATCCTGGAGCAGAGACAGCTGATAGTATACATCCTGGAGCAGAGACAGCTGATAGTGTACATCCTGGAGCAGAGACAGCTGATAGTGTACATCCTGGAGCAGAGACAGCTGATAGTGTACATCCTGGAGCAGAGACAGCTGATAGTGTACATCCTGGAGCAGAGACAGCTGATAGTATACATCCTGGAGCAGAGACAGCTGATAGTGTACATCCTGGAGTAGAGACAGCTAATAATGTACATCCTGGAGTAGAGACAGCTAATAATATACATCCTGGAGTAGAGGTTAAATATTCATTGCAACATTCTTGATGGCTGAAGGGTAAAAACCAGAAATGACTGTTAAGATATCTTAAATGTTTATCAATAATAGACTGGTAAATAAAATAAATACAGTCATTAGAAGCAACAAGTAGGGGCCGAGCATGGTGGCTCACACCTGTAATCCCACCAATTTGGGAGGCCAAGGCAGGAGGATCACCTGAGGTCAGGAGTTCAAGACCGGCCTGGCCAACATGGTGAAACCTCATCTCTACCAAAAATACAAAAAAAAAAAAAAAAAATTAGCCAGGCATGATGGCATATGCCTATAGTCCCAGCTACCTGGGAGGCTGAGAAGGTGAATTGCTTGAACCTGAGAGGTGGAGGTTGCAGTGAGCCAAGATTGTGCCACTGCATTCCAGCCTGGGCCACAGAACAAGACTCCATCTCAAAACAAAAAAGAAAGAAGAAGAAGGATATTTAGATGCTATATGGAAGTATTGCCAAGATACATTTTTTATTTTTTTTTGCTCTGTATGTAAAGTCTGTTTTTAAAATTATACTTTTAAGTTCTGGGGTACATGTGCAGAACGTGCAGGTTTGTTGCATAGGTATACCAAGATATATTTTTAAAGGTAAAGAAATACAAAATCCTTTTATCTGTTGTTTTTTTTCTCTTTGGAGACAGAATCTTGCTCTGTTGCCCAGGCTGGAGAGCAGTGGCACGATCTCAGTTCACTGCAAGCTCCGCCTCCCAGGTTAAAGCGATTGTCGTGTCTCAGCCTGCTGAGTAGGTGGGATTACAGGTGTGTGCCACCATGTCTGGCTAATTTTTTTGTAATTTTAATAGAGACGGGATTTTGCTATTTTGACCAAGCTGGTCTCAAACTCCTGACCTCAAGTGTCTGCTCTCCTCGGCCTCCCAAAGTGCTGAGATTATAGGTGTGAGCCACCGTACCTGGCCTTGTCTAGGTTTTTAAAAAAGATATATACAGGCATGAATTGGGCATAAGAATAAAGGAATACTTTAACATAACATTTTTTGGGAAAAGCTTAGGAACACAGGGTACTGGAAGCATGATAGCAAAACTCAGTCAGGTGACATTGCTTTCTTGACCCATTATTTAGAGTAATTTGTAGTTATGGTAAACAGAATAAAGAATAACCAAAATCTTTACACAATTTTGAAAGCCTTGCCTGGCCCCTTCTACCACTCTTCCCATATGTACTCCACTGTGGCTCTGCTTGCCTCCTTACCGTTAGCCTGGCCGAGGGTCCCTGCCCTTCTTATCCTGCCGTCTGGACTCCCCTTCCCATATATCTGCGGGGCCTGCTTCCTTTCACTTCCTTCTGGTTTTTGCTTAGGTATCACCTTACTCAGGGGCCTTCTCCAACCTCCATAGACAACCAGTGTTCTCAGTGTCTTAGTTCAGCCGCTACAACAAAAATACCATAGACTGTGGAGCTTAACTTCTCGCAGTTCTGGAAGCTGGGAAGTCCAAGAACAAGTGCCAGCCAGTTCAGTTCTTGGAGATGACCCACTTCCTAGCTATGTCCTCAAGTGGCAGACCAAGAGATCATCTCTGTGTGTCTCTTCTTATAAGGCACTAATCCCATCATGAGAACTCTACCTTCATGACCTAATTACCTCCCAGATACCATCACATTGGGGATAAGGGTCTAGACATATGCATTTAGGGGGCACAGACATTCAGTCCCTTGCACACAGTAACAGAGTCACCTCCACCATCACTCTAATCACTCTAGCCCCCTCCTTATGCTGCTTTGTATTTCTTCATGGCGTGTGTGTGTGCGTGTGTGTGTGTGTGTGTGTGTATTCTTCAAGGACAGGGACTTTGTGTGTTTTATTATTATATCCCCACTGCCTAGAACAGAGCCTGCCACATGTTAGATGCCCAATAACCAATTAATAAATGAAAAATATACAGTAGAAGCTTTTGAATATAGTGCCTATTTTAAATTTTGAGAAGATATATGTCATATATATGTGGTAAAGACAAATCTTTAAATTTCATCTGGCAAGTTCTTACGCTTCAGTGAAACTTGTAAAATTTTAATCTTTCCTTTGGCAGAGCAAGAATATGATCCTGGACCAAGCCTTTAAATACATAACAGAATTGAAAAGGCAAAATGATGAACTCCTGCTTAATGGAGGAAACAATGAACAAGGTAAATGTTGAAAAGTTCTTCCTTTTTGTTGTTTTTTAAAATGTTTAGGCGTTTGTGTCGCGGTAAAATTTATATTAGGATATAGAAAGCTTTTTGGCCCCAAAACAATATTAAGACCCCGTTCAGTGGGTCTGGAAGAATAGTGTCGCCAATAAATTCATTTGAGTCTAACTCTTTCTCCTCTGTGAGCACCTTTATGTCTCAGGCATACGTGGTTTTGACTTTGAACTCGTTTGTGTATTGCATGTTTGCCTAACTCATGATACTGGGAGTGCTAAATCACCTTCATCCCAATTGGACATTGCAGTTTGGGGGAATCCCATAGAGGATGTAAGTGGGGAGTTCTGCTCAGTGTAGCTTAGAAACAAGATTAGGATGTGCCTGTGCCAAGGCTTAAGTGTGCATTAACAAAAAAGACCAAAACATTCATTTTGTTTGTACTACTTGTAATATATGCATCAAACTGCCTGATCATTTAGTTATATTTGATTTTTAGATAAAGGTGACTTTTTAATGCCATCAAATGAATTCTCTTTTTCCATTAGCATTGAAGACAAAATTTCCTTATGGCAGCAGAAAAAAATATTCCAGGCAAGTGTAAAGCTCAGGGTAGGCCGGTTTGCAATTGTCTTTCATTTACAGCCCGACAAGTGCAGGGAGAGAGTTTCCTTTGACAACTCAGGAGTCCATCTTAAAAGGAGGAAAAAAACGGGCAGAATTGGCTGAGGCAAGGTCAGTGCTGGGCTGTGTTTGCTGTAATGGATGAGAAGGATATTAGGAAGCAGACCTAAGAGGTCAGCGTTCAGCATTCTCCTTGTTTACTTTTAGTTAAATATTAGCAACTTCCCCCTTCACCTAGGTTAGCTGTTGTTTATGGCCCAGGTACTTCTTTGATGCAGTGAGATAGTTACATAAATGATACATGTTTGGTAACCATTCGAGGCACCCCACAAAAGGAAAGTAAGACAGAATGATGAGTAGACTTTTCTTTTCTTTCTTTTTTTATTTTTGAGACACAGTCTTGCTCTGTCAGCCAGGCTGGAGTACAGTGGCACGATCTCAGCTCACTGCAACCTCCATCTCCTGGGCTCAAGCAGTTCTCCTGCCTCAGCCTCCCGAGTAGCTGGGATTACAGGTGTGTGCCACCACACGCTAATTTTTATATTTTTAGTAGAGACGGGGTTTCACTATGTTGGTCAAGCTGGTCTCGAACCCCTGACTTCAGATAATCCACCTGTCTCGGCCTCCTAAAGTGTTGGGATTACAGAGTGAGCCACTGTGCCTGGGAATGAGTAGACTTTTCTAATGAAGGCTCCTTTGATTTCAGAGCACAGAGGCTGAGACGATCAAGTTACCACAGGAAAAAGGAAAATTGTTGAAAAATATCAGTTGCATGGGGCTCAGAAAAAGCTGACCAGCCAGGCCATGGGTTAGGGGCAGTATCTAAGGCAGCCTAAATCTGTGTTCATTATTTCTGTCATGATCATTATTTCTCTGGTTCTTTTTCTGTGCATCTGCCCTATCCTCTGTTTTCTCTCAGTGGCTTCCTCTGCATGCTCACTGTGCACATACCTAGTGTCCAAAGCAATGACCTTGGACGCGGGCCCACTTAGGTTTGAGTCCCAGCTTCATTCACTCCCTCAGTACCCTTTGGCCAGCTACTCAACCTGTCTGAGTCCCAGTTTCCCTAGGTTAAAATCAGGGTGATCGTGGTATCTGCCTGGCTGAATTGAGGCAAATTACGTAACTACTTTGACCCTGTTTCTCATATGTAAAAGTGGTGATGATAAAATATAAATTGCCATCTCATGGTTCTTGTGAGGATTGAACGAGATAACACGAGAACTTAGATGGAAGCCTAGCGCGTAGTAATCGCCTGATAAATGTTAGCTGTTATAGTGGTCATTGTTACTAAATGAGACAATGAATGAACTGTGCCAGGTAGTAAAGGTGCAGTAAGTGAGAACCATGATTATTATTTGGTCCACAGTGATTGTCCTTTAATTTCTACTGTCCATGGACACTGGTATCTTTCTTTCGTCTCTTAGTTTTAAGCTAAGAAAATGATCTGCCAGTTTCAGCTCATCTTTGTTGGAATAGACCTTTTCATTTGAGGCTCCCTCACATGGTGTTAGCCTGGAGAATGGGCTGCTTTGGGAAAGGAATGAGAATACCCTCCACTGTGGAGGCAGATGGGGATGTGTGGGGTCACAGAGCATATACCAGCATTAAGTCTGCCCCAATAGTGGGACTCATAGGTGAAGCTATCTACCTTAGAAAGTAGGACTGTGACAGTGCCCTCACTGCTCAGTAGCATACTTGTATTGGTCCTAACTAGCAAAATACAGGTTCCATTGTCGATGCTTTCTCTGGTGCCCTTTGGTGCCACTTTGCTTCTTACATGTTCTATTCCTTTTTGTCTCCATTGTTTCAAAGGGTAAAATAGAAACTAAAGCCATTTATAAAAGAGACTGTCAGCTGGGAATGGTGGCTCATGCCTCTAATCCCAGCACTTTTGGAGGTCGAGGTGGGCAGATCATTTGAGATCAGGAGTTCAAGACCAGCCTGGCCAACATGGTGAAATCCAGAATCTACTAAAAATATAAAATTAACAAGGAGTGGTGGTGTACACCTATAGTCCCAGCTACTCAGGAGGTTGAGGCAGGAGAATTGCTTGACCCTGGGAGGTGGAGGTTGCAGTGAGCTGAGATCGTGCCACTGCACTCCAGCCTGGGCCACAGAGAAGACTCTGTCTCAAAATAAAATAAAATAAAATAAAAAATAAAGAGGCTGTCTGTTACCATCATAGGTAATGTTAGCTGCTGCAGCATTTAAAGTGCGTGTTGACGTTCAGTGTTACTATCTCAGCATGTTACCATGATATCAATTTGTCTTCTCTTATTTCACCTATGTAGCTGCCCTATTGGAAATTCTTGAATTGGGAATTTTGAGATTTCTACATTATGAGTAATTTTTCAGTTGACCTTTTAAGATTTACACTTTTTAAATGAGGGCAGAGGGATTTAAGATATCATACTAAAAAGAAGAAAGAAGTCATATTAAAAAAAGAGCTGAAGAGCCTCAGTTGAGGTATTGAGAGTGCTAGAATTAGAATTCAGTAGGTTAGCACACGGTTCTTTAGGAAGTTATTGTACATACTGACATTCACAGGTATTTTTAAATTTTTGTTTTTAATATTCTAGCTGAAGAAATAAAAAAGCTACGGAAACAACTCGAAGAAATCCAGAAAGAAAATGGCCGATATATTGAATTACTGAAAGCTAATGACATATGCTTATATGATGACCCCACAATTCACTGGAAAGGAAATCTTAAAAACTCAAAGGTCTCTGTTGTTATTCCTAGTGACCAGGTTCAAAAAAATATTATTGTTTATTCCAACGGGAATCAGCCTGGTGGAAACAGCCAGGGAATCGCTGTTCAGGGGGTAACTTTTAATGTTGGTCCTAATTTACAAAAGCAGACCGCTAGTGTGGTGCCAGTACCGAGGACTTGCAATCTGGTGACTCCTGCGTCTATTTCCGGAGTTTACCCTTCTGAAAACAAGCCATGGCATCAGACCACAGTTCCTGCATTGGCCACCAACCAGCCTGTTCCTCTGTGTCTTCCTGCTACCATTTCTGCTCAAAGTATTCTCGAGCTTCCCACCTCTGAAAGCGAATCAAGTGTGCTTGGTGCCACTGGTGGCTCCCTGATTGCCGTTTCCGTTGGACCTGAGCCTCACCAACATCGTTCTTTGCACACATGTCTAAATGATCAAAGTTCTTCTGAAAATAAGAATGGACAGGAGAACCCCAAGTTATTGAAGAAAATGTCCCCCTGTACTACAAACATCCCCCTCAGCTCCTCAGCAACTGCCACTGAGGTGCACCATGGAAGCAAGTCCTGCTTGAGCACACAGGACTTCAGAGGTGATGTTCAGAACACTGTTGTTGTCTCAGTTACCACCACAGTCTGCGCCCAGCCTCCCAGAACTGCAGGTGAGTCTTCTCCGGTGAGCATCAGCAAGAGTGCAGACTCAACAAGCACAGCTACAGTGGTGGCTTCATCTGCCCCTGCAGTAGGGAAGGCCACCGTTCCTGTAAGCACTCTTTCAGGAAACCCTTTGGACAATGGTTGGACTCTTTCTTGTTCTTTGCCTTCTTCAAGCGTTAGTGTTTCAGATTTGAAAAACATTAATAGCCTTACCCGCATTTCTTCAGCTGGAAACACACAGACAACGTGGACTACTTTGCAACTGGCAGGAAACACTATTCATCCCTTAAGCCAGACACCGTCTTCTGCTGTGACTCCAGCATTGAGTGAGTCTGGTACTAGCCCCACCACAAGCAACCACAGTAGACACATGGCTACAGGCATCAACTTGAATAATTCCTTTCCAGCAGATGGGCAGCCCGTTGAGCAGGTAGTTGTAACATTGCCTTCTTGTCCGTCTTTACCTATGCAGCCACTAATTGCTCCGCCACAAGTTAAATCTCAGCCGCCCAAAAATATCCTTCCACTGAATTCAGCAATGCAAGTGATTCAGATGGCTCAGCCAGTTGGGTCGGCTGTTAATGCAGGCCCAACTAATCAAAATGTTATAATTCTTCAACCAGCCAGCACCACCGCATGCCCAACAGTGATGAGGGCAGAAGTTCCCAGCCAAACAGTAGGTCAACAGATAGTGATCATACAGGCAGCCAATCAGAACCCTTTGCCTCTCCTCTCTGCTCCACCTCCTGGTTCTGTTCGACTCCCTATCAATGGAGCCAATGCTGTAATAGGGTCTAATAATTCAGTGCAAAACGTTTCAACACCACAGACTTTTGGAGGAAAGCATCTTGTCCACATATTACCAAGACCTTCATCTTTATCAGTGTCTAACTCAACACAAACGTTTTCTGTTACGATGTCAAGCCAACAGCCTCAAACCATTTCTTTAAATGGACAGCTCTTTGCTTTGCAGCCTGTCCTGTCTTCGTCAGGAACTACAAATCAAACGCCTATGCAGATTATTCAGCCCACCACCAGCGAAGATCCAAATACCAATGTTGCCCTGAATACGTTTGGTGCTTTGGCCAGCCTCAATCAGAGCATATCACAGATGGCTGGGCAAAGCTGTGTGCAACTGTCTATGAGCCAGCCTGCCAACACTCAAACTGCTGCAAATAGTCAAACCACTCCTAACTGTGTTTCATTAGCAACAACTGCAGCACCTCCGGTAGCAACAGATAGTTCAGCCACACTCGCCAGTACTTACAATCTAGTGACTCCTTCCTCTGTGAACACTGTTGCCGGTTTGCCTCCTAACGTGAAGTCAAAAAGGCTGACTAAGAAGCCAGGTGCCAAGAAACACTTAGCTGCAAACAAGTCTGCGTGTTCCCTGAATCCAGTTAGAGATGTGAACAAGTTAGACTGTCCCAACACTGAAGGCTCAGCAGAGCCCCCCTGTAATGATGGACTGCTGGAAAGCCTCCCTGCTGTATTACCATCTGTCTCTGTGTCCCAGGCAAATAGTGTGAGTGTTTCTGCTTCACATTCTTTGGGTGCTGTGAGTTCTGAATCATTAATACCTGGGTCTGCATCCAAATCTAAGTCAGCAGAAAAGTCCAGCTCACCCTCTCAAGAATCTGTAACAAGTGAACATTTTGCAGTGGCCCCAGCAAAATCCAAAGATTCTACCCCTAATCTGCAACAAGAGATGTCTCAGGGTAAACCACCCAGTAGTTCAGCATCATCAGATGCTGCCAAACCCTGCACTTCAGCCAATGTGTTGATTCCATCTCCAAGTGATCCTCACATTTTGGTTTCTCAGGTTTCTGGTTTACCATCTACCACAAGCACTACAAGTACGGACTGTGTTTCTGAGGTAGAAATCATTGCTGAACCTTGCAGAGTTGAGCAAGACGCATCAGATACCATGCAAACCGCGGGTCTCTTAAAGGGGCAAGGTCTAACTACATTGCTCTCTGATCTTGCTAAAAAAAAAGACCCTCAGAAATCCTCTCTTTCTGATCAGATGGATCATCCTGACTTTTCTTCAGAAAATCCTAAATTAGTTGATTCAAGTGTGAATTTACAACCCAAACAGGAACTCTTATTGATGAACAATGATGAGAGAGATCCTCCACAGCATCATCCCTGCCTCCCTGATCAGGAGGTTATTCATGGTTCTTTGATCACCAGTAGGCAGGCTGACTCTCCCATGTCAACCAGCTCTGGCAGTAGTCGCAGTTTCTCAGTTGCATCCATGCTTCCTGAAACAACGAGAGAAGATGTGACCAGCAATGCAACAACTAACACATGTGACAGCTGTACCTTTGTGGAGCAAACTGATATAGTAGCTCTTGCAGCGAGAGCCATTTTTGACCAGGAAAACCTTGAAAAGGGAAGAGTTGGCCTCCAGGCTGATATAAGGGAAGTTGCTTCAAAGCCTTCTGAAGCATCCTCGTTAGAGGGAGACCCACCTTTCAAATCACAGATACCTAAAGAAAATGGCACAGGACAGGCAGAAGCAACACCGAATGAATTTAATTCTCAGGATTCAATTGAAGCAACTATGGAGAGGCCCCTTGAAAAACCAAGTTGTTCTCTGGGAATTAAAACATCAAATGCATCTCTACAGGCTTCGAACCCTCAGCCACCAAGCATCACCAGTTTGAGTGTGAATAATCTTATCCATCAGAGCAGCGTCAGCCATCCTCTGGTCAGCTGTGCAGGGCTATCTCCAGCTTCGGAGCCAACAACTGTGCCCGCAACGGTTAATCTGACCATTTCATCTAGCTCCTACGGCAGTCAACCTCCTGGACCATCTCTGATAACCGAATATTCCCAAGAACAGCTCAATACTATGACTAGTACCATACCAAATTCACAGATTCAAGAGCCACTCTTAAAGCCAAGTCATGAAAGCCGGAAGGATTCTGCTAAGCGTGCTGTCCAAGATGACCTTTTACTGTCCTCGGCTAAACGTCAAAAGCATTGTCAGCCAGCCTCCCTCAGGCTTGAAAGTATGTCCCTGATGAGCAGAACTCCAGACACCATTTCTGATCAAACTCAAATGATGGTCAGTCAGCTCCCTCCCAACTCTTCAAACTCGGTGGTGCCTGTTAGCAACCCAGCACATGGAGATGGCCTCACACGATTATTTCCACCTGCTAACAACTTTGTGGCTCCTGCACTGAGGCAAAGTGAAGTTCAGTGTGGCTCTCAGCCTTCAGTTGCTGAGCAGCAGCAAACCCAAGCAAGTCAACATCTACAGGCCCTGCAGCAGCACGTTCCAGCTCAAGGGGTACCTCACCTTCACAGTAACCATCTTTACATAAAGCAGCAGCAGCAGCAGCAGCAGCAGCAAGCGGGGCAGTTAAGAGAAAGGCATCACTTATATCCAATGCAGCATCATGTACCTCATGCAGAGAGCTCTGTGCACTCTCAGCCCCATAATGTCCACCAGCAGAGGACTCTGCAGCAGGAAGTGCAGATGCAGAAAAAGAGGAATCTTGTTCAGGGCACCCAGGCCTCTCAGCTTTCTTTACAAGCGAAGCACCATGGGACTGACCAGTCCCGATCCAAGAGTGGCCAGCCACATCCCCACCATCAGCAGCTGCAGCAACAAATGCAGCAACACTTTGGAAGCTCCCAGACAGAGAAGAGCTGTGAAAACCCTTCAGCTACCCGAAACCATCACAACCGTCCCCAGAACCATCTCAATCAAGATATTATGCACCAACAGCAGGAGGTTGGAAGCAGACAGCAGGGTTCCGGGGTTTCATCTGAACATGTATCTGGGCATAATCCAATGCAGAGGCTTTTGACATCAAGAGGCTTAGAGCAGCAAATGGTGTCCCAACCAAGTATTGTGACTAGATCTTCAGACATGACCTGTACTCCACACAGGCCGGAGAGAAATAGAGTTTCAAGTTATTCTGCTGAGGCACTCATTGGAAAGACATCTTCTAATTCAGAGCAGAGAATGGGGATATCGATTCAGGGTTCCAGAGTTTCAGATCAGCTTGAAATGAGAAGCTATCTTGATGTTCCCAGAAATAAGAGCTTGGCTATTCATAATATGCAGGGTCGTGTGGACCATGCTGTAGCCTCAGATATCCGCCTTTCTGATTGTCAGACATTTAAAACGAGTGGAGCTAGTCAGCAGCCCCAGAGTAACTTTGAAGTACAATCTTCACGAAATAATGAAATAGGTAACCCTGTATCGTCATTGCGGAGTATGCAGTCCCAGGCTTTTAGAATTAGTCAAAACACTGGCCCACCGCCAACTGACCGTCAGAAGAGATTACCTTACCCACCGGTTCAGACCATCCCAACAGGAAACGGTATTCCATCAAGGGACAGTGAAAACGCTTGTCACCAAAGTTTCATGCAGAGCTTACTTGCCCCTCACCTCAGTGATCAGGTCATTGGGAGCCAGAGGTCACTCTCAGAACATCAGAGGAATACACAGTGTGGTCCATCCTCTGCAATTGAATATAATTGTCCCCCAACTCATGAAAATGTCCATATTAGAAGAGAGAGTGAGAGTCAGAATAGGGAAAGTTGTGACATGTCTTTAGGTGCAATCAACACCAGGAACAGCACCTTGAATATTCCTTTTTCAAGTTCCTCTTCCTCAGGAGATATTCAGGGTCGAAACACAAGCCCCAATGTGTCTGTACAAAAATCCAATCCCATGAGGATTACTGACAGTCAAGCAACCAAGGGCCACATGAACCCTCCAGTCACAACCAACATGCATGGGGTTGCAAGGCCGGCACTGCCGCCTCCATCTGTGTCTCATGGAAATGCTGACCAAGGCCCTCCTGTACGTCAAGCTAATTCTTCAGTTCCCCAGAGATCAAGGCATCCCCTGCAAGATAGCAGTGGTTCCAAAATTCGTCAGCCTGAAAGGAATCGTTCTGGAAACCAAAGGCAAAGTAATGTCTTTGATCCCAGTCTCCCCCATCTTCCTCTTCCTGCTGGTGGCAGCATGATTCTTGGACGTCAACAGCCTGCTGCAGAGAAGAGAGGAAGTATCGTTCGTTTCATGCCTGACAGCTCACAAGTACCTAATGATAATCCAGGTCCTGACCAGCATACGCTATCACAAAATTTTGGTTTTTCTTTTATTCCCGAGGGTGGCATGAATCCACCAATAAATGCTAATGCTTCTTTCATTCCACAGGTTACTCAGCCTAGTGCCACTCGAACTCCAGCCCTCATCCCGGTAGATCCGCAAAATACTCTGCCCTCCTTCTATCCTCCATACTCTCCTGCTCATCCAACGCTGTCCAATGATATTTCAATCCCCTATTTCTCTAATCAGATGTTCTCAAATCCTAGCACAGAGAAGGTAAACAGTGGAAGTTTAAATAACCGTTTTGGATCAATTTTATCTCCTCCCAGACCTGTTGGCTTTGCTCAACCAAGTTTTCCTCTTCTCCCAGATATGCCACCAATGCACATGACCAACTCTCACTTATCCAATTTTAATATGACATCTTTGTTTCCAGAAATAGCTACAGCGCTTCCTGATGGTTCGGCAATGTCACCTTTGCTTACAATAGCAAATTCCTCTGCCTCTGACTCTTCCAAGCAGTCCTCAAACAGACCTGCCCATAACATAAGCCATATTCTAGGTCATGATTGCAGTTCAGCTGTTTAAATACTGATAAATGAAATGTAAAGGTAATGAGTGAGATTACAAATGTATTTGTGTGTGTGTATGGGCACAGACATGTACTTGAAGAGAAGGATTTTGTGTGTGTGTCTTTGTATAATCAGTTTTCAGTTATCTTCTGAATCTAGGGAAGCCATGTCAGAGATGATATAGATACTGGGTTGTCAGAATACAAGTTATCTTTCATTTTCAACTGCATGGTGTACTTCTTTATTTTCCAAGCAGATTTACATTTCCAGGTTGATATTTCCTAAATACTAATTAGCGGGAGATTGGGGAAGGTCATCTTGTCATGTGCTGGGTAGCAGGAGGGAGGCCTAGCTTTTCAACTTGATTGTTGATAACTTGTAGAATATGTAGTTAAGTTGCCACTGAAAAATACAGGCAGCTTGATAAAACACAGTGGCCCATAACCAAGTGCTGGCCAATGTCAGCCTCTAGAGCAGCTGCTCACCTGTGGCAGACGTTGAACTGGTGTTGACTTCAATGTCCATGAAGTCAAGTAGTTAGCCAGTAAATGAATTGTTTATTCTCAAGTTTAGTTAAGACAGAGGATTCTTCCTAAATATAACGATCCATAAAGTATCTGAATTTTTTGCCTTGTTCTTCAAAGTAGGGAGCTGCACTATCCTTCAATGTGCCAAGATTCTTTAAAGCCAAGGTTTTCCTTAGACAATTATTTAGCCTTAAAAATAGAAAGCAGGCCGGGCACGGTGGCTCACACCTGTAATCCCAGCACTTTGGGAGGCTGAGGCGGGTGGATCACCTGAGGTCGGGAGTACGAGACCGGCCTCACAAACATGGAGAGACCTCGTCTCTACTAAAAATACAAAATTATCTGGGCATGGTGGCACGTGCCTGTAGTCCCAACTACTGGGGAGGCTGAGGCGGAGAAGCGCTTGAACGCAGGAGGCAGAGGTTGTGGTGAGCCAAGACTGGGCCATTGCACGCCAGCCTGGGCAAAGAGTGAAACTCCGTCTCAAAAAAAAAAGCTAAAAAGTTAGGTACTTTTCTCCATTTTGTGCTTGCATTTTGCATCAGGCCATAGGGTAAAAGCAGTTAGTTGTATTGTGAGGTTTTGCATGGGTTCAGTTAACAATTGATGTTTCATCAGCTGAGTTTAATTTAGTATTCTATTTTCATTCTATTTATTTGATCTTGAAATAAATTCTTTGCATTCATTTAAATATTAGGATTGATCAGGAAATAGTGTGTTTGTAATCTACACATTTATTTGAGCCTTACTTTAAAAATATTTCTGAACAGAGATTTAGGCTCTGTCACTATTTTCATTTACTGAAAGTATTTATATTTTAAATATGGCATTGTATATTACGTGATTATCCTTCATAACAGAATTATAATGAGGATGTGAATTAGTGTGTTATTTTTCTTGTTGGTAGGTGTGAAATGGTGCTTCAAAAAACATATAGTCTTTATGTCTCTCTGTGTGTATGTGTGTGTGTGTGTACACATATTTTAAAGTATGAACTGGTTCTTTGAAAACAGGCCTGCCATCTGAAAATGGGAAATTGAGACCTGAGACCTGCTAAAGCATAGAAGAACTTGATATAGGTAGGGGTAGTTTAAAGCCCCTCAGAAGTTTATAATACATCTAAAACCCCATATGGAAATTTGAAAACTTAAAAAAAAACTAAGAAAACAAGGGTATATATTCCTTTCCTTAAACCCATGAAGCCCATTACTTTTTGTTGTTATATTCTGCCAGAAATGGGATGGGGTGGGAAAGATGTGTAGAAATTGTTTTATCTGCTTTGTTAACCAGGTGAACTCAAGAACTAGCTTTTCTTTTCTTTTTTTTTTTCTTTCTTTCTTTCTTTTTTTTTCGGACAGAGTCTCACTCTGTCGCCCAGGCTGGAGTGTACAATAGCATGATCTTGGCTCACTGCAGCCTCTGCCTCCCAGGTTCAAGCAGTTCTCGGGCCTTAGCTTTCTGAGTAGCTGGGATTACAGGTGTATAATACCACACCCAGTTAATTTTTGTATTTTTAGTAGAGACAGGGTTTCACCATTTTGGCCAGGCCAGTCTTGAACTCCCAACATCAGGTGATCCACTCACCTTGGCCTCCCAAAGTGCTGGAAATTCGGGTGTGAGCCACTGCTCTTGTTCCCCCCACTCGCCCCCCAGGTTTTTGTTTTAATTCTAAAAAGCTTCCTAAGGGTTGGTCAGAGCAGTTAACTCCAGTGAATACCTCTTTTTTAAGACAGCAGAAGGGTCAATTGTGCCTCTTTTACTGTTCTTAACAAACTCTCCTATCTTTTTCTGCTGCCAACTAAGCAGCCTCTACGGGACAAAAAAATATATTTTTTTTCTTGCTTACAAAGCAAGAACAACCTGTATTTTCTTCCTTCAAAATGGTCTTGGGGGAAGAATAGAAGAGCTTCATGAATAAGTTAGTTAAACAAGACAACAGATAAACACAGTAGTTAAAACTTTTTATTGAGGAAAAATGCAGCATTTATGACTTGCTTTTTAATTCTCTTAACTGAATTCTAAGCTGCAACATTCAAGTTTTTCTTTGTACTGGAAAGGTCCAATCTGCTAATTTCAAGGAGGGCAGTTATCCAAGTGTTTGGCTGTTCATTTCTCTCCCCCTCTGTCTTCTTTCTATCACTGCCTCCATCTCTCTCTCTCATGCACACACGCACACACACTCACTCACTCTACAGTGGCTGTTGAGTTCTGAAGGACTGGGGACTGCTAGACACAATGGAAAGGAAGGTAACAGGCTAAGGAGAAGCTCAGTTTGAACACTGCAATGCAAAGGCCTCAAAGCCTGTGACTCTAAAGTATTTCTGTGCATTAATTGTATTTTCCTGCTTAGCTGTGTTCAGACATAGTATTTGCATTTCTCAGAGCTTCATTCCAACAAGATAACATTTTGATCTTGAAAGAGTCTCGATAAGGCTTACTTGACCATATAAGGAAAAATGTGACCATCTGTGAATAATTGGCTCCTGCTTCTGTGTAGCTCTAATTATTTTACAGACATATGCATGTATATGTAAGAGTCCAGTTCATACATGGGCTTGATGCCGAAAGTGTTCAGACCATGGTGCCCTTATTTGATTTAAAAGCATGAATATCTGAGATTTCCTAGCAGTATTAAGTATTTGATGATTACAGCTACGTGGTTTTTGGGAAGAAATTTGTTATATCTAGTGCCAATCTGGATATAATTTTGGTAAAGCAATGGCGGAAAACGTAGTCAGTTTTGGTTATAATAAATGTAACCATTCTTGGCTTGCTAATGTATGATTATAGAAAGTAAAACAATTTTTAACTTCTAGAAATACACCAAATTATGTCTGAGTCAGGAGAGTCGTTGATGAAATCATTTATTTCTGTCTCTTTTTTAGCACTATTGATCACAGAATTAGTTATAAAAAGGGGTTGATTCTATTCAACATTTAACATTAACTTCTAATGGAGGGAAACCGTACGGATTCTCTTCATGTGTAAATGTTTAATGTGTCAGTCGTAGACGAAAGGAATCTAGTTTGATATTGTTTCTTTTTTTTTTTTTTTTTTTGGAAAATACAAGTTGCTCTGGGATGGCTTATACGTTGTTTTATGCCAGTTCAGGAAATTTATTTTTGTTTTTATTTTAAGACCTTTTGGGGTACCAGAGATGGCACCTTTTTTCTAGGTAAGATGTGGGAATTCCTCAGTGGTCTTGCTTCATAAAGTTAACATATGAGAACTGGGGAAAGAGAAAGGAGGGGTTATTCTTTTGCAGCATTTTCCAGTCACATATCAGGGTTATACTGAACTGCAACAAAGATTAACTTTTAAAAATTAGCCTTCTTAAAATACAAAATGATTTAAGTATTTTAAAGATAATTTATTTGCCTCGCTCTTGCCTTCTAACATTAGCCATTTCACGGAGAGGCTAAAACTTATACTCCAAAAAACGTGGAAGCACATTTTAATGAGAGTAAAATTTAAAAATTTTGGGAAAGGGTAAAATCTCATTAATATGCATCTTCTTAGCATTAGCTTCTTTTTTGATATGTAGGCACTTAGGCTCTTCCATCTGCTCCATGTCAAGTAGGGCTCAGGGAAGCTGGTCCTTTCCTTTGCGGATGATTACTCTGTTGCCTTGAAACATTCACTGGGCCCACCATGTGTGGTCAGTGTGTAGTAGTGAAGTCATACTCCCAAATCAGTGATTCTCAAGTCTTGGCTTTGGAAATCAGTATGCCTCTTGTTCTCTTAAGAGTAACAAGAATTTCTTGAAACGAAATTAGTTCCAAATTGATTTAAAATATTTCAGTGTGCCATATTGCTCTGCCCCTTGATTTGATTGTTCTTTTTTTTTTCCTATGGAGGAATGAAAGGGCAAAGGTGGTACCAAAATGAAACAGCTTTGGAGTGATATCTTTAGGAGACTGGAAGCCATTTTTGTAGTTCTGTTGTCTATGTAAATGCTGTCTTTGCCTGGAGGTTGTGCGCCTGTGGCTGTGTACATCCAGAGGGCGACAGTAATAGCCAACAACCACACAAACTAGTGAGGTTACTCTGTGAGGGACGATTTTCTAATAGCTATCTGCAAATGAAAGGCAGAAGTTAGTTTCTTCTCAAGATGCCTTTTTGGCTGAAAGTTACCATTTTTCTTTCCCCAGGGTTTAACAGAAAGGGGTCTTTCTTGGATTTAACTATATTCTGTCTGCATTATATTCTTCCTGTGTAGGTTTCTACTAGAGCCTGTGGAGGGGGGACACTAAATTTAGATTGAGGCAGCCCCCGCTAGTAAGAAGTGTGAGGACCTTGTTGGACACAGAGCTTCTAGGTCTTTCCACCTGTAGCCTCTACCCTGTTCCTGCACTTTACCTGAAACTGTGCCTCTGGTCTTTAGACCAGCTATTGGAACATATCACTCACCCACTCTGTTATAGCAAAGGGCCAGCTGGGATGGTACATGCTGTGTAGTCAGACACCTTCTCGACAAGTACAGCTGATGTTTCTCACTGTTGCCTTATCATTCTCTGAGCCATCTTTGATGTTGATTTGTAAAAAAACAAAAAACAAACAAAAAAACAAACTTAGTAGCAAAACTCCTGTTAAACTCGGAGCTCTTATGTGGTGGCCACGCGACATCCTTATTTCTAGATTTACACAGACTGTATCAAATGTCATTTTTTTTGGCACATGTGTTTGGTCAGATGCTTCATAAACATGAACCAATGTGGGTTGTAAATATTGGGCATAATATCCAAATTGGGGTAATTTTGGATGACTGCATAATCCTGTCATTAGAGATTTCATAAGATAGAAGATAATGATTTGTAATTTAACACATTTTTTAAAAAGATGAGATTTAATTTTTTTCCCTCAGTTGTGTATACAACTACACACCATACTATGTCATAGGAACCTAAAGTTAGATGCATCTAAATCCCTTCACTTTTCTGAGACTTCTCTGCGCTCCCACCCCTGACGTCTTCAAATCATTTTTAATCTGTGAAGTCACTGAGGTACTGGGCTTGACGACAGTGGTAATCTTTGAGGGGAGTTGAACTGTTGATCTTCCAAGAAGAAGGGGACCAGACAGTGTTAAGATGCTGCAGTTGTGTTACTGTGAAGAAGAGATTCGCTTCCACGTTCAGCAGGCTATATAAATATATACACACATATATAGATATATTTTCACTTTGGTAAAAAAAAAGTTGGAAAATCTGAGGAGAACATAATTACCTTCACAAATTATTTATAGATACACTGGGTGAGAAGCTTACTGAAGGGCAGCCGCCAGAAGACTAATTTCAGTGCTTTCAGTAGGGTCTGCTGCGCATTGCGTCCTATTACCGTAAACCACCTGGTTTATAATTCTTAGGGAAACTAATTTGTTTTGTAATGGAATCCAGACCAGAAATGTATAATATGATCAGGATTGTCCTACAGCTGTAAATAAGAATAGGTCCTGTTTATTTTGACATCTTTTTACAAATGCATTGTATTAGGGTGTGAATATTCTGAACCATCCTCTTGTTTAAAGTTTGGAAATTTTTATTGTTAAATGTAACATTTTAATGGTTGTAATAATTATTTGTATAGATATGAATATAGTATTTTATTTAAGAAAATAAACTTTGCATTTTTGCATCGTAAATTCTGTCTTCCCTGATGATTGCATGTGCCACTTGAAACCTGCATTAAAGTGGCTTGTCTTGCACACTGAAGTCTTCTGTTCATATTATCTTTAAATTTTGCTGTAACATCTGAAAATAATGCCATGACGTATTTGCCATAGGGATTGTGGTCCTGATCAACCAGCGAACCTCAAATTATAATTAGGACCAGAACTGTATTGTTAGAACAAACTGTGTACCCCTATACTCATAAAAGGTAAAATTAGAATTTCAGATCTGAAAGAGTATTTCAAGGTGATCCATTTTAAACTCTCTCTGCTTATTTAATAGTGGAAGAAACTGAAACACAGAACTTTAAGACAAGAGTGAGGTCTTTCACTATAGCTACCCACATCACCTAGCAAAACTCACATTCATGAAGCCTGGAGGCAAAAACATTGCAGAGGAACTTGTACAGTATAAAGTGATATAAAGTGTAAATGCCTGTGCATCGGACAATTCATTGTTTAAAGTTTAAATACCAACAGGTGTGGTAAAAATGATAAGGAAACGATAAACTCGAAATTCAGGATAATGGCTATTTCTTAGAAAAGGATGAAGGGGGATGATATCAAGGAGGGAGGAGTACTTAAAGGTATTGTTATATTCTACCTCATTGGGTAGCAGATGCTCAGGTTTTGATCACATTTATGCCTGAAGTCACTGTCTTATGAATGTCTAAAGTATATCCTAATGTTTTAAAAGGTAAAATGGCCAGGCGCGGTTGCTCACACCTGTAATCCCAGCACTTTGGGAGGCTGAACCAGGTGGATCACTTGAGGTCAGGAGTTTGAGACCAGCCCGGCCAACATGGTGAAACCCCATCTCTACTAAAAATACAAATATTAGCTGGGCTTGGTGGCAGGTGCCTGTAATCCCAGCTACTCAGGAGGCTGAGGCAGGACAACCGCTTGAACCTGGGAGGCGGAGGCTGCAGTAAGCCAAGATTGCACCAGTGCACTCCAGCCCTGGGCAACAGAGCCGGACTCCATCTCAAAAAAAGAAATAAAAATAACAGGTCAAACGAGGGCCTTAGACATCACTTTCACACGCACTCCAGGAAGTTCAAGCTCACAATACTTTCCTTGACCTACCTTCTTGGGACTTCAGATTAGAAGTCAGTATTCTGTGAAGGGCTAACTTGCTGCTCTTATATGCCAGCTCCCATTTAGATGTTAGAGTTGGAACACACATTTTGATTATACAAGAAGCCCCAATATCCACAAAAGACATATAAATCATAAAGATGCAAACACTGTGCTTAAATTTGATCTCCCTAAAGGTATAATATAGTTCTTGGAATTAACAGCAATTGCAAAAACTGCAATTACTTTTGCGCCAACAGAATACTTTACAATTTTATTAGCTTTCCACTTAGAAGTTTGAAGGAAAATGAGAAAATAATTTTAATACTTTTTTTTTTTTTTTAAGACAGAGTCTCTGTGACCCAGCCTGGAGTAGTGGTGCAACCTTGGCACACTGCAACCTCTGCCTCCCAGGTTCAAGCAATTCTGCCTCAGCCTCCTGAGTAGCTGGGACTACAGGTGTGTGCCATCAGGCCCAGTAAATTTTTGTATTTTTAGTAGAGATAGAGTTTTGCCATGATGCCCAGGCTGGTCTCAAACTCCTGGCCTCAAGTGATCTGCCTGCCTTGGCCTCCCAAAGTGCTGGGATTACAGCCCTGAGCCACCATGCCCAGCCAATTTTAATAACTTAGATCTCTTTAAAAAACTATCCAGAGGATTTTTCACTTTGAGGTAGTCACCCAGGCTGGAGTGTAGTGGTGTGATCATAGCTCACTGCAACCTCAAACTCCTGGGCTCAAGGGACACTTCTGCCTCAGCCACTCATGTAGCTGGGACTACAGGTGTGTACCACCTGCCCAGCTAATTTTTAAATTTTTGTAGAGGCAGGGTCTCACTGTGTTGCTCAGGCTGATCTTGAACTCCTGGGCTCAAACGATCCTCCCTCCTAGCCTCCTAAAGTGTTGGGATTACAGGTGTGAGCCAACAGCAGTCATTCTTTAGAAAAGGAAAAGCGAGGCACTATTTCTGTGTTCCTCCGGTTACCTGGCTGTGATTCGGGGAAGATGGCATAGTTTCTTTGTGTCCGTTTACTTCTCATTCTTACCTGTTTATTGTTCTTATTACCTGTTCTGCATACCTCTCAGGGCTGTGGTTAAGGACAAATGGGGTTTTAAATGTATTTTCCATGCCCACCCTCATTTCCACCTTCCCTGCATGTTCGACTGAAATGCAGCCTCCACTAGAATCTATTTTGTTGGTCAGGGTCCACAGCTTCTTCGCCCTTTGCTTCCTGTGAGAAATTGAGATGATGCTAATTTGCTTCCTAGATAAGGTCAGAATTCAGGTACGTCGGTTAACTAGTATCAGTGTGCTACTTAATTTTTCACGTGATCAAATAAGCTACAGATTCTGGGGAAGATACTAACATCCAGCTTTTAACTAACTTTCTGCTGCACGGGTCTGATTGGTGGTGTTTTCTTACATTGCTTAGCCCCATTCAGATACGTGGTTTGGAAAAAGGCTGCAGCCTGATTGTAGTTGTGTAGAACTTACTGGTTTGTGAAGGTTTCTGGGAATTCATGGTTTAATTAGGTTATATTCCTTTTAAAAAAAAATGCTGCAGGCCGAGCGCAGTGGCTCACACCTGCAATCCCGGCACTTTGGGAGGCTGAGGCAGGCAGATCACGACGTCAAGAGATCGAGACCATCCTGGCCAACATAGTGAAACCCCATCTCTACTAAAAATACAAACTATCTGGGCATGGTGGCCCGAGCCTGTAGTGCCAGCTACTCGAGAGGCTGAGGTAGGAGAATTGCTTGAAACCGGGAGGCGGAGGTTGCAGTGAGCCAGAGAGCACAACTACACTCCAACTTGGCGACAGGGTGAGACTCCGTCTCAAAAAAAAAAAAGTTACAATGAAGTGATATGCAAATTCACTTTAAATCCTTTTATTTTTTATTTTTTTGAGACAGAGTCTCACTCTGTTTCCAGGCTGGAGTGCAGTGGTGCGACCTCAACTCTCTGTAACCTCCGACTCCTGGGTTCAAGCAATTCTCCTGCCTCAGCCTCCTGAGTAGCTGGGACTACAGGCATGTGCCATCCCACTGAGCTAATTTTTGTATTTTTAGTAGAGATGGGGTTTCACCATGTTGGCCAGGGTGGGTTCGAACTCCTGACCTCAAATGATCTGCCCTCCTTGCCCTCCCAAAGTGCTGGGATTACAGGCATGAGGCACTGCCCCCAGCTCACTTTAAATATATATATATATTTTAAAGCCCAACAGTCGGCTTAGTACAGAAGATGAAACAGGTGTACATTAGCATGTCAGAGTTTCAAACCAAGTCCTATTGCTTTTTTTGTCTTATTTCTGGACACACTTAGAAATATTTATCACCATTATCATTATACCCTAAATGAAGAAATACCATTTTCCAGTTCAGTTCAGCTAGTTTTGTCTAAAATTTTTAAATTTTGGGGGGGGGGAAGAAAGTTTAAAGTAGCTATGATGAAACCACTACCTTATAGGAGGAGAGAGCTGGGCCCAGAGACCAAGAATCAAGATGGTTTTTCCACTGTGGGAGTTGTAGATTCTGCCCAATCCATGGGGTAGCACGGATTGCTAGCCCATGGTTTTGGAAGCAGCTTTGGAGAACTTTTAGACTCTTGACCACTTTTTGAGTTTTTGAATGTTTTGTAACCTTTAATTTTCTTTTTTTGTAGAGACCGGGTCTTGCTATGTTATCCAGGCTGGTCTCAAACTCCTGGCCTCAAGTGGTCCTCCTGCCTTGGCCTCCCCCAGTGCTGGGATTATCCCCAACGCACTGGGCTACTGAATGTTTTTTAGAAAATAAAAAACCCCACTACATTCCTGTGATTTCTCTCCATTTTAAATTTTGTTTTTGAAACAACAGGCTCCCAGTGGTAACCTGATGCTTTATGCTACATATATTTTAATTTAAAATAAATCTTTGGGTCTATAGTGCTTTGCCAAGTACAATCATTGAATTTATAAAACAGACTTTGGTTCTTAACTTTACAAGCTTAGAAACCGAAGCCATAGTCCTTATATAAATCCAGCCGTTCCGGTTTAGAGAGCCAAAATGCTCCACAGCCATGGTTTTATGGATTGGCTTTCCCAAGGCACAGTGAGTTTCATTGTTACTCGGGTTTATCTATCAGGCATGTGTCTTCCGTATTTTGAAAAACACTTTCCTTTTTTAATACCTCCAACAGTTATATAATTCGAGGCCTCTGTTTTGCAAATATAGCTACACACAAAAATAAGGTGACTCTTCACAGCACCGCAGTCTGTTGTCCTTTTCCCTGTTCTTACCTGAGCCGCTCACTCCTGTTAGACCGGGTTTCTGCACCATTCACTTCACCTAGTGAGCAGTGACTTCTCCAAGTTTCAGTTTCTCTATCTAGGAAACGGGGCTCATGGTTATAGTTTGTATGTACACAACCACATCTAATCCTGAAAACCTCACCTTCTCAGGGAGCTTTCCAGGATTACATGTGCTTCTGTGTATAAAACCCTTAGCAGAGTGCCCAATGATGAATGTTGGCTTTTTTTTTTTTATGAGATGGGGCCTCACTCTGTCCTCCAGGCTGGAGTGCAGTAGGGCGTCCTCAGCTCACTGCAGCCTCCGCCTCCTGGGTTCAAACAATTCTTCTGCCTCAGACTCCCTAGTAGCAGGGATTACAGATGCATGCCACCACGCCCGGCTAATTTTTTTATATTTTTAGTAGAGTCAGGGTTTCGCCATATTGGCCAGGCTGGTCTCAAACTCCTGACCTCAGCTCCCAAAGTGCTGGGACTACAGGCGTGGGCCACTGCACTGGGCCATAATTTTTGTATTATTAGTAGAGACAGGGTTTTGCCATGTTGGCCAGGCTGGTCTTGAAATCCTGGCTTCAAGTGATCCACCCGCCTTGGCCTCCCAAAGTGTCGGGA